TAGAATAGATGAATAGAGAATAGAATAGATGAATAGAGAATAGAATAAATATAGAATAGCATAGAATAGAGAATGTAGAATAGAGAAAATAGAATAGAATAGAATAGAATAGAATAGAATAGAATAGAATAGAATAGAATATAGAATAGAATAACGGAAGGGACTTTGGAGGTCTTTTAGTCCAACCCATTTATTTAGGTGTCTCTCTCCTTTCTCTGTTCATAAACAGGAACTGATGATTGCAATGTTATTTGACTTACATGATTCCAAACCAACTCCAGGGGGTGGGAGCTCACAATATAACAACAAATACAGTTCACCCCCCACCCCCCACAAATGACAACAAATTAGTGAAATGAGTATCTTGTAAAACATCTGGCTGGAGTCTTATCTAGTTAGAGTTCCCTAAATTCAGCGAACAGCACGAGGGAGAGTGGGCGTCCCAATTCGGGATTATGAAAAGGGTAGTGCTATCTGGGAAAATACAGGAGGTCCCGTTGCTAAGTGAAGCGTCCGTTAACTTGCGAATTACCCTGCTTAAAAACAAAACTGCTAAGAAGTGGCCATTTGTGACACGGCACCTGCCCTGCAATCTTTCCAAAGTTCTGCATCACTCTCAAAGTTTGAAAATCTGGCTGGTTCCCCAGGCGCTGGGGGTGAAGCTCATGTAGAATATTATTATCTATTAGCTGGACTTCTTGTTCTTCTCCTCGTTTCTCGCTACACACTATTTTCAGGGTCCCAGGGCACCCAGAACCTGGTGGAACCGAGTCGGCTTCCGAACCAATGAATCAATTAAGAGATCCTAAACCTGACTTAACTCATTTAGGGCTCTTCCCTTTGCACATGAAGAAAGCGAATAGGAATCCAAGGAACATCACCGAACCGACAACCATTAGCATCAGTTGAAGGAGGTTCAGTAGCTTGATCTTGTTGGTCACTTTCGATCGGAACAATTCTGCTTTCGCGTCACTGATAGTCGCCGTCTGGAGAAGGAAGGAAGGAAGGAAGGAAGGAAGAAGAAAGAAGGAAAAAGAAGGAAGGAAGGAAGAGTAAGGAAGGAAGGAAGAAAAAGGAAAGAAAGAAACAGGAAGGAAGGAAGGAAGGAAGAAAGAAAGAAAGAAAGAAAAAGAAAGAAAAAGAGGAAGGAAGGAAAGAAGGAAGGAAGAAAGAAAGAAGAAGGAAGGAAGAAAGAAAGGAAGAAAGGAAGGAAGGAAGGAAGGAAGGAAGGAAGGAAGAAAGAAAGAAAGAAAGAAAGAAAGAAAGAAAGAAAGAAAGAAAATTAGTATTTTTCAACATCGTTCCAGCTGAATAATACAGTCTGAATACCCAGCAATGCTCTTCTCTATGCCCAATTTGCAGTTTGCACAATTTTGCATAAAAAGGTGTGCCCAGAGAAGAACATTACTGCAAGTAACAGTCCCCAGGCTCTATGTACAAGCTGTTTCACTGATTAATTGTTCAGGATTGTTAGGAAATTAATGGTTAATTGTTAGGATTAATTGTTAGGAAATTCCTCCTTAGTTCTAGGTTGCTTCTCTCCTGGATGAGTTTCCATCCTTCGCTGCTTCTCCTGCCTTCTGGGGCTTTGGAGAATAAGTTGACCCACTTCTCTTCTTTGGGGCAGCCCCTCAAATACTAGAACGCTGTTATCCTGTCCCCGTCCCGTCCCGTCCCGCCCCCGTCCGCCGGTCCTTCTCTTCATTAGACTAGATAAACCCAAATGCTGCAACTGTTCAACTCTTCATCCCTCCCTGGCAATCATTCCCAGACCTTCTTTGCAAATTCTTTTTATTTCGTTGGTTCAATCCCCAGGCATCTCAAGAGTTCGAAAAGTCAAACTCAAAAGGAAGGAAGGAAGGAAGGAAAGAAACCTACTAACCTCATTCAGCCACAAAACAGGAAAGTAAAAATAATGTTTGATGTTTTTTAGCGCTCTGCAGAAAACAAAAATAAGAAAGAAAGGAAAAGAGAGAGAGAGAGAGAGAGAGAGAGAGAGAGAAAGAAAGAAAGAAAGAAAGAAAGAAAGAAAGAAAGAAAGAAAGAAAGAAAGAAAGAAAGAAAGAAAGAAAGAAAGAAAGAAAGAAGAAAGAACATTAGAACGGCTCCGTTTTGGTTAGCTGTCTTGGGAGAAGGCAAAAAATTGCTACCATATTTTTTGGGTCGGTTTTAAGTTCCATTCTATTTTCCGTGGATGAAGCCTTATCTGTAAAGTGGATGGCAAGCAATCAACCAACCAACCAACCAATCAGAATAGAGCTGGAAGGGACCCTGGAGGTCTTCTAGTCCTACCCCTTGCTCAAGAGGAGACCCTAGACAATTCCAGAGAAGTGACCGTCCAGTCTTTCCTTAAAAGCCTCCAGGGATGAAGTACCCACCACTTCTGGTGGCAAGCAGTTCCACTGGTTAATTGTTCTAACTGTCAGGAAATTCCTCCTGAATTCCAGCTTGCTTCTCTCCTGGATTAGTTTCCATCCATTGCTTCTTGTCCTGCCTTCTGGGGCTTTGGAGAATAAATTGACCCCCCTCTCTTCTTTGGGGCAGCCCCTCAAATACTGGAACCCGGCTATCGAGTTCCCCCCGGTCCTTCTTTTCTTTCAACCAGCCTGTCACCTTGCAGACTTCCACCCCTTCCGGAGATGCTATTGCCCATAAGCCACTTCCCATTGGCCAGCCTTTCCCCCAATGGAAAGTAAAAGAACAGCTGAGACTTACGTGATTTCTGGATTGTTTTGCACCAATAAATTCACCTGCAACCTTTTGGAAAAGGCCAAGGTTAATCCTGTGATCTGAAACAAAAACAAAAACCGAACACGGTACTTTGAATTTTGCAAACTGGATAATCGAATAATCGAGGATTAACAGCATTGAAACACCCACAGGAGAAGAAATAATGACAAAAATATTAGGCTGTGCAGAAATGGACAGATTAACATTGAAGATAGAAGAAGAAAAAAGACACAGAATATTTTCGGAGTTGGGATTTGTTTTAATTAATGGTTGGATAATAGAAACTAGGGGTTTAAAATGGCCATATAATCAAATTGACTCCGTATACTGTTCACTAACCACTTATTGTACACAAAAAGAACCGCAAAGCCTACAAACTCGAAATTCAGCAGGTCTGTTCCTCTTGGCTTCTAGGGGCTCACTAAGAAAGGATTTATTTAGAGTATTTCCTATATTATTATTATTATTTTTTTTATTATTATTATTACACTTTGATGTTAAGGAGTTCTACTCCCCTTCTCCACCTGAAAAGAAATCTGTGCCAAATGCAAAACACAAGCAGAGAAGAGGAGTTTCAGTTTCATAGCAGCAACCAGCTTTAGTACAGAACAGTTGAGCTAAGCCACGCCCAGGCTCCTTGCTGTCTCCTTCTTGCTCGCACGGCAAATACTGTTTCACTTTCCAAACAGCCCTCAACTCTCTCTCACCAACTGACAGGAGGCTAGCCAGACGAATACCGATGGATGCTGGTAGGCAGAGGCAGAATTTTTTCCCCCTCTTATTTTCCTCTCCCCAAAACTAAGCCCCACCACATAAAATGTGCAGTCGCTTACCGGTTCCACATCCAGAAAAGTGGTATGTTCTTCCACGTTTGGCTCCATCCCCTTCACAAATTGAAAAATTATCTGGCTTCCATACAGGAAATGGGGCGAGGAGAGGTAGACCGGTTTCCCTGTGGAAATAAAAGAGAAAAGGAGCGCAATTTGCATTTGACCAGATCGTCAACAGCCACTCTTGTCCCAGAAGCCGACTGGAAAACTGCAGATGTCACCAAACATAACGTCGTCCCACGATAATGTCGCAAGACCCAATCTGGGTCGGTCCGGGGAACCAGTTGTCTTCTGAACTTTAGGACTCGCACTGGAGCAGATATTTTCCCCTTTCTCGGCACACTGGGAATGTAACTGCTGAACAAAACTCCTCATTGGCGACAGGAAAGGCAACCAGCCATTCAACATTCTGCTAGCTCCATTCAGTTGCCAGAGACTCCACCCCGCAAGGGATTACAAGGTGGTTAAACGAAAATGATGATTAACGGAGTCGGAAGGGACCGCCCAAACAGGAGACCATATCAGGCTTAAGCCCCGTTTTCCCCAGCTAACGACTTTGGCAGTGTTCCCCACGGTCACGGGATCAAAACACTTGGCAAATGATGGTCGCAGAGTTCCCCGGTGGTTTTTTTGTGTGTGTATGTGTGTCGCGACCCCCTTTGGCGCCCTGCGACAGGGTGAGCCGGTTTCGCTGAACGTCGCTGTCGCTAATGGAACCACCACAGGGATTCACTTAGCCAGGGGAACAAGAAAGGCCGTAACAGCCGTCTGCGCTTAGCGACGGAACATTTCGGTCATAAGACGAGGACCGCCTGTATTGCATTCTCACCCCGGCGCCCCCACGACTTCTCGGGATTACAATCCCACAGGTTCTGCCCTGGGTCCAAAGAAGCTTTCTTCAGGGGTGGGAATGCTACCGGTTCGGCCTGGTTCTACAGAACCGGTAGTTCCGAAGAGCAGCTGACACCAGAACCGGTTTGTCCATCTGCCGGGGCTCTTGGCTGTCCTTTAATTTCCTGCTTTTTCAACCTCAGCTGCTTTGCGCGGCACAGCTGAGGTTGAAAAAGCAGGACAGAAAAGGATTTTCAAATGCTACGCACCTGCCCCTCCCCGCCCCCCCCCCCCCCCCCCTTCCCTGGCAAAGTTGCCTGCTAAGTTTCTATTTTTCCTTTTTTTTTTTTTCCCCCCCCCCCTCGAGCATCAGCTGTTCTGCTGTGCCGGGAGATTTAGATTAGCTCGAAAGCAGGAAATGGTTAGATTTCTGGCTTTCTAACTAATCTAAAAGCAGAGCTGAACCTTCCTTAGGACTTCTATATTTCAGTGTAGACTCAGGTAGCAGATTGCAGAAAGATAGATCTCTGAATGAGTCTGTGATTCTGTGAGCAACTCAACCTGCCTGCCTGCTTTGCCTGATTTTGGGTTAAAAGTTGCTCTTTTTTTAAAAAAAAACATAAAAAAATTACAATATTTACATAAATATTTACAATATTTACCTACAAGCCAGGCCCACCCAGTCACATGACCCCCAACCCACACTCACAAATTGGGCCACGCCCCCCAGGACCGGTTGTTAAGACGTTTGAATCCCACCCCTGGCTTTTCTTCCTCCATAGTCCGTGCTTTTCGTCCTTATTTGGGGCTACCTTGTTTGCAGGAGCTGACATCCAGGACTCCGTTGGTGGTACAGTTGCTGTTTACCACGCTTTTGGTGCAGAAACAGATATTATCAGGATTGGTGAGGGCTGAAGCGAAAGCCAACGCGGGGATACTGAAGCGATACAGCGGGATCTCTTTCACCGTCACATCCCTATCGAATAAGGCGTAGGTGGACCTGCGGGATGCGAGAACAACGCGCGTTCATAGAATAACAGCGTTGGAAGGGGCCTGGGAGGCCTTCTAGTCCAACCCCCTGCCCAGGCAGTCTCTTCTAAAGGACCTCCAGGGTTGGAGCCTTCACAGTGTCCCTCGCTTAGCAACAGAAATTCGCCACTGCAGTGCCGGAAGCGAAGGAACGCCTCCCCCACCATTTTTTCGAGGTCCCTTACCTGCAAGCATCCGAAGAAAATAAATACAGCTCTTCGCTCTTTTTGACAAAAGGGTGGAACGCAGTCCCATCTGTGAGTTACAATGAGAGCATCTTGTGAGTTTGGAGCCTTGCAACTTGTTTCAAAAAAAAAAACAGAATGACAGAGTCCGAAGGGGTCTTGGAGGTCTTCTAGTCCAACCCCTTCCTCAGGCAGAAAACCCTGGGCCGTTTCAAACAAATGGTGGTCCAATCTCTTCTTAAAAACTTCCAGATTCCTTCCTTCCTTGCTTCCTTCCTTGCTTCCTTCCTTCCTTCCTTCCTTCCTTCCTTCCTTCCTTCCTTCCTTTCTCTCTCTCTTTCTTTCTTTTTTCATTCATTCATTCATTCATTCATTCGGTATGTCAAGGTGGGAATTTTTAGGAATTTAGCACCTGGACTTCAGTTCCAACCTTAAATATTTTTAATGCCAAAAGAAAAGGGCAGTGGCACTGTTTAATTCCTCTTTCCCTCCCTTCCTCCCCCCCTCCTTCCTTCCATCCATCCATCCATCCATCCATCTCTCTCTCTCTCTCTCTCTCTCCCTCCTTTCCCCCCCTCTCTCTCATTCATTCATTCATTCATTCACTTGTTCATTCATTCATTTGATGCATTGATGCGGGAATCTTTAGCAGTTTTGCCACTGGACTATTTTTAACGCATGCCAAAATTTATATGGGGTGGGGTGTGTGTTCTGCACAGAAATGCAGTGCTGTTCCACTGACATGCTTACCTGTGCCGTTCACCATGCTACAATAACTTGTCCAGTATTTGAGGTTCCTTTGAAAAAAAAAAGAAAAGAAAGAAAGAAAAATAACATGTAAAATATGTCATAAAACAGGGGCCGGCAAAACTTGCTTAACAAATGTCTTGTTTAGCAACGTACATTCTGGGCTCCATTTTGGTCGTAAGCCAAGCCTGTACAAAATGATAACCAACCCATCCTTCTATGCTTAGAATATTTTGCACCTGCGCCAGGAAATCTAAGAAAGGGGACGCTGCAACAGGACAGAATGCTAAATTAAATGTTGTCAGTTATGAAGACAAAATATATATATATAGGTACATTTCCCCAAATATTATACCTGCTATTTTTATAAGTGGTGATAATTCCTTTCTTGTTTATGTCATCTTTCCCGCTATAAATCTCGTAAGGGCCATCGAAGGTGTTATTGTACTTGAATGAGAGAAAGAGAGAGAACAGAAAATTAATTTTTGAGATCTATCATCCAATGAAAGGAAACAAACCAACAAAAAAAGGGAAGTTAGACCCCTATCAAAATCCCATTTTTGCCATGACTTTTATTCCTAACCCCCAGTGGAATAGAACGATATCAGCAATGCTTCTTATCTAGAATAAAAACTTGTTGACTTTTCATAAGCCATGCTAATACAAGCCAACGGCTATTTTAATTTTAATATTTCTGGATTTTCTGAATTTTACAGAGGTGTTTCTTATAGCAGCACAGATACTTTCCTTAAAATCACATCCCCAGAAATTAATTTTCCCGTCTGAGATATACTTACAGGATAGAATATTCCAACAACTTTGTCCATTTTTACAATAGGGATTTTTTTCAAGAAAGGATCTTCATAGCCCCAAAGTATTTCTTTCACAGTTCTAGTTTGGAGGAATTTTGATTTTGCGGATCTCATCCAGATATCCATCAAGTATTGCATAAATCTGTTTTTATACAAAGCTGGGGCAGCCTGCAGCAAAATACCAATATTCTTATAACTTCAATTTTGTGCACTGGGATGCAAATCAATACAAACAGGCTTGAATTAAGTTTTATATGTATTCAAATTCTGCGTTCAAATCCTTAGTAAGGCCACATCCAGTTTTGGTCACCTTGGGAAAAAAAGTGCAAAGAAGAGCAACTAAAATGGAAATTAAAACATAGGAAGAACGGCTGCAGAATTAGGGATTGGCTAGTCAAGCGGAAAAAATGGATTAGGGGAGACATGATATCGGTCTTCCCATATCTCAGGGGCTGCCCCAAAGAAGAGGGAGTCAAGCTATTCTCCAAAGCATCTGAGAAGGCAGGACAAGAAGCAACGGATGGAAACTCATCAAGGAGGGAACCAACCTGGAATTAAGGAGAAACTTCCTAACAATGAGAACAATTAACCTGTGGAACTGCTTGTCACCAGAAATTGTGGGTGCTACAACACTCATTATTATTACGTTGTTCCAGAGCCCTGAGAATGCCCCAAACCCGATATTTGACTGATTTATTATTACAGTTTAATATTCAGATGTTAGACACCTTAAGGGGGCTTGCTTACCACAACGGCAAGGTTGACGGTGGTGAAAGTGTCATTTTCCGGCCCAACTGACATATGAGGTTGAAAAAGGAAAATATTTGGCTGGAGGTAAGACAGGGTGCCGTCTTTGTGTTCCGTGATGTTTCCCTTGGGAATATAGCGCATCCTTTGAAGAGAAAAGAGAATCCGCGTGTTAAATGCTGAGCCATTTATTCCGCGGAACAACTTGCCACCAGAAGTGGTGAATGCTGCATCACTGGAGATTTAAGAAGAGGCTTGACAGCAATTTGTCTGGAATCGCAATAGGTCTTCCAGAGACCTCTCCATCCTCAGGTCTGGGCCTACCGGTAAGTGTACGGGCCTTTCTGCTTAAGTATCGGCGCAGAACCGTTCTGCATTACGTCCTCTGGGTTCTGTACATCGAAAACCCAAATCTCTCGGTATATGGGACTTCCCGGAAGGACCCAGTTCTCATAGGCGATGGTACCTTTTTCAATGACAACTTCCTGCAGAGGAGAATAAGAACGACATTTTAACATGATTTCCCGCCACTCCTCTAGGTAAGTCAGAATACAAAATATTCCAGAGATTGCCCAAAGAGATAATGTTTCTGGAAAGCATTAGGGTAATATCAGACTTCTTTTTGTGTTTGATAATGAATATGTAGGCTAAAATATGAGGTTAAGTGGCATTTTTTGAATGGTGTTTAGATTTTCTTTTCCAAGGCAATAATTGTCTTGAATCAAATAATGCTTATGTATATAGTGGCATTTTAATCTAACTCTATGTTTTAGATAGGTTTTAGACTAAGTTGTTTATTATTATTATATTATTATTATTATTTACTATGTACTGTGCTTGTGATGTAGTGTTTGGGCACTGTGCTGGAGTAGCTTTCAAATTTCATTGTATTTGTAGAATTCAATGACGATAAAGGTATTCTGTTCTATATAAGAAAATAACAGAATAGAATAACGGAGCTGAAAGAGACCTTGGAGGTTTTCTAGTCCGGTGGTTGCCAACTGGTGGTCCGTGAGAAAATTTTGGTGGTCCGCAGAGAAATGTCACCCCCAGAGCACTCCCCCAAAGCAATTAATCCAGTCTGCGCAGGAACACAAGGCTGCGCTGCCCCGCCCACTCACTCCTGACCTGGCAAACTTGCCTGCTAAATTGCTATTTTTTTTCACCGACCATCAGCTGTTCTGCTGTGCCGGGAGATTTACATTAGCTAGAAAGTAGGAGATGGTTGGATTTCTTGCTTTCTAGCTAATCTTTGGATCTTTGGCCCTGCTTTTAAGCACAGCCGAACCTCCCTTAGGACTGAAGCTTCTATTATTCAGTGCAGACTCAGGTAGCTGATGCCAGAAACATAGATCTCTGAGTGAATCTGTGATTCTGTGAGCAACTCTATCTGCCTGCCTTATTTGCCTGATTTGGGGTAAAAGTTGCTCTTTTTTATAAAAAAAATTCAATGTTGATATAAATATTTATAATATTTACATACAAGCCATGCCCATCCAGTCATGACCACCAAGCCACCCCCCACAAATTAGGCCACCACGTCCACAGAACCGGTTGTTAAGACATTTGAATCCCAGCCCTGCCTCTGTGTGTGTTGGTGTGTAGGTGTGTATGCGGAGAAGTAAGTTCACCCCCTCTTCTGAGGGGATGTCAGTTTTGTGCTCTGTCCATTTTGTGTTCATGCTGGATCGCAAGCTATATTTTGACATTTTTGGAGAAGAGTTGAGAAGCTCTGCATATATAAGAATTGTGCCTTTTGAAGTATTCAAATATTACACCGTAGAAAGCAGCTCTTCGTGTAGCTACTCACACCATTCTCTCCCTGATCCCAAACGGTGATTTACAGGGCCTGAAATCATCTTCATTTATAATCTGATGCTCTGGCTTGGACCCTGGACACAGGCCGTGGTTTACGAAACTCACCAGTTGAAACCTGGAAGCCCAAACTAAAACAATAGCAGAGTTCCAAGCAGCTGGCGCAAGAGAAAGTCCTCGAGATCCGAAAAGATCTGGACAGACTCAAACAATGGGCCCTGATCCAACACCGCGACATTCAAGGTGGAGAAGTTTTGGTGCCAAAGGGGCAAAGCCAAATTAGGCGTAACCTGGCCCCAAACCAGCAATGGTGAAAGGGATCTTAAAGAGTCCTTCGTAGGCGATCCTTTCAACTTGAGCCAGCCATGTGCGGCAGAAGCCAAAAAAAAGAAAGGCTAATTCGATCCTTTGGTTGGGTAAACATTAGTACCGCTTTACAAAGCCACGCCTGGAATATCGCCGCATCCCGTTTTGCTCACCACAAATTACAAAAAAAAAAAAAAAAAGGCTGGGACTTTGGAAAAAGCGCAGAGATGAGCAACTAAGAGGATTAAAAGCCTGGGAACTAAAACATGGGAAGACCGGTTGGAGGAACTGGGTTTGGCCAGTCTAGAGAAGGTAAGGACTAGGAGGGACATGATTAGCAGCCTTCCAGTATTTGAGGGGCTGCCCCCCAAAAGAGGAGGGGGTCAAATTATTCTCCAAAGCAGCAGAGGGCAGGACAAGAAACGACGGATGGAAACTAACCAAGGAGAGAAGCAACTCCTGGAATTAAGGAAGGATTTCCTGACAGGGAGGACAATTAGACAATGGAACTGCTTGCCACTAGAAATTGTGGTTGCTCCATCACTGGAGGGTTTTAAGAAGAGATTGGATAGTCACTTGTCTGAAATGGTCCTAGGGTCTCCTGCTTGGGCAGGGGGCTGGACTAGAAGACCTCCGAGGTCCCTTCCGACTCTGTTATCCTGTCATTCTGGATGAAAGGGTCTCCTGCTTGGGCAGGGGGCTGGACTAGAAGACCTCCAAGGTCCCTTCCAGCTCTCTTCTGCCTGATTGATTTATAGCAATTGTTCTGCCTAGATTTGTCCGAACAACTCAACAGTTGGATGAAATTATATATGTTAAGTTTGAGCAATGAGAGGCTGAACCAGAGCATGAGTGCAACAGTACTTTATTTTACAAATAAAGGGCTGACCGTGCTTGCCAAGCCTGGAACTGGCTCACAGCAATCAGCAGCGAGTTGGACCCCGCAGCCTGCTTTTATAGCTGGCTGCTGGGGAGAACCAACCAATGGGGAATGGGGGAATAACGCCCACACAAAGTGAGTGGACCTGAGTGAGAACTCCTTGAGTCCTCAGGACATAACAATATATATAAAAAAAGAAGTTTCAGATGCGATTGTGGCAGGTTATTTCTGCTAGCATCAGCCTACGTCCTTGCAAACGTCGAGGAGGAAGTGAGGAAAACACAGAGAAACACAGGAATCAGGGGTGTCCCTTACCTTTTTTATTGTCTTGTCAATGAAGTGATTTCCGACCGGGATGAGAATTCCTCCTAGGACGGCCAGCACTGCCCCAATGGTTGCCACTGCGAGCAAGCCACAATTTGGATTGCACCCCATGGCCAGTTTTCCTCCTCCTCGTCCTCGTCCTCCGACCTCGAAGGCTCCTCTGATTCTAAGGTTCCTTCAAAAACGTTCCTCAGCGACAGATGTTGAGACTTTGGGAGGGAAAAACGTGCAGAGAAGAGCAACTGAGGGGATTAAAGGCCTGGAGACTAAAACTTTGGACGAACTGGTTTCAGGATTTGGGTCTGGCTAGTCTGAAGGAAAGAAGGACTTGGGGTGACATGATAGCAGCCTTCCAGTATTTGAGGGGCTGCCTCAAAGAAGAGGAAGGGGTCCACGTATTCTCCAAAGGCCCTGAAGGCACGATGAGAAATAATGGGTGGAAACTCATCAAGGAAAGAAACAACCCGGGATTAAGGAGGAATTTCATGACAGGGAGAATAATGAACCCGTGGAACAGCCTGCCAACAGAAATTGTGGGTTGCTTCATCACGGGAGGTTTTGAAGAAGAGATTGGACAGCCACTTGTCTGGAATGGCATAGACAGAGTCTCCTGCTGGAGCAGTGGGTTAGACTAGAAGACCTCCAAGGGCCCTTCCAGCTCCATTCTGATTGACTGATGATACGGACACCTCTTGCCGTTGTAAGGAATATGTTCAGCTTCACCGCTCTTATCCTGGTGCAGGGCTGCAACCCCTGGTACCAAACAGGCGCACCCCAAAGAGAAAGGCAGACTCCCCTCTTAGCAGCTCTTTCCTTACTACACACACGAGGGTATTAGTTGGAAGGCACCTCGGAGGTCACCTAGCCCAACCCCGTAGTCCTATCCCGCTGCTGTTTAGGATAACCCCCCACCCCCTCCCCCACCTTGCAAACCAAACCAAACTGCCATCCGAAGATGCAAACTAACCTGGAGTAGCGGAGGAATAGTAGTTCTTCTGGGATTGTAGAGTTGGTTCAAGCCAAATCAGGGGAAAAAATATAAATACCGCCCCCTCCCCTCCCAAAAAAACCCTCCCCTGCTATGCTGAATCCTGATTTTCGGAGAAAAGAAGTTTGTCGTAGCAGTTCTGCAGAAGTTCAGCTTGAAGGTTCAAGAGTCCGTCAGTCTTTCCTCGGCCTCGGTAGAGATCTATCTATCTATCTATCTATCTATCTATCTGAAACAGCTGGGATAATCAAACCTTCCTCTTAATAATAGTAGAAAAAGGAAAGGAGAAGGAGCTGCCAGGGTTGCAACATAAACTTCAGTCTGGACTAGTCCACCAGGAGTAAAGACTTTGCTCTGAACCAACCCCGGAGTTATCTAACTATATATTGGGAATTCCAGGAGAACAAGTTTGAACGCGGGAAAACGCTAGCCAATCCCATCTGACGAACCTCCTCTGGGCAGCTGTTTTTTCGTCCTACCTTGGAGGAAAAACGAAGAAGAAGAAGGGGGGGAAAGGCCCATGGATGGACCCAGACTATAAAACAAGACGATGGGGTCGCGGGTGGGGAGGCTGGAAGGGGAGAGGAAGAGCTCGGCTTAACGGCGGCAACGGAGCTCAAGGTTTCCGGGGGTGAAGGGAGCTTTTCGGCCCCCTTGTACAGACTTTCTGACCATTGCCGCTAAGAGACTCATGGCAGGCGATAAGTCAGTCACCCGGTTGTTAAGAGAAACCGGTTCCCTCCGTCACGAGAAGGTTGCTAAAAGGAGTTCGTGTGACCTGGGGGGTGGAGATAAACACACAGCAACGGTCATAAGTATGAATTTTGATCTGGGGACGCTACAAAAGTCCCTTCCAGCTCTATTCTGATTGATTGATCGATTGAAATGGTCTAGGGTCTCCTGCTTGAGCAAGGGGTTGGACTAGACGGCCTCCCGGGTCCCTTCCAGCTCTATTCCGATTGATTGATTGGTGTCCTGCTCGAGCAGGGGGTTGGACTAGAAGACCTCCGAGGCCCCTCCCAACTCTGGTATTCTGTTCCGTCTTGGCAGCGTGTGCTGTTGCACCACACTTGCTGGTGTGGATTTTTATTTTATAGCTGTGAGAGTTGGCTGCCCCTAACAAAACCTACCTGGATGCTCATAAAGTGGAAAAAACAAACAAACCCCAACCCAACGAACATCTAACATACAAAGTGAGTCATTCGGCGCAGGGATTGAAAAGGCAGATTAGCATCAGGGAGAACTCGAGTTCTAGTCTTCTCTTAGACATGAAGCAATTATAGGTATTCTTGGGTCAAACCACCTCTCAGGCTGGCCTATCTCAGAACATAGTTTGTTGTGGGAAAATAAGTAGGAGTTTGTGGTTGCAGAAAACAAACCAACGCAGGGTGTGAATAAAAGCACAACACACCTTTGCACCTGCTTCCAAATTGTGTTGTTTATCAGGAGTTCCCACCATTCGGCTTAAATGGTAAAGGTCTTCTTCTGCTTGAGCTGGACTAGAAGACCTCTAAGGTCCCTTCCAACTCTTGTCGTTCTGATTTATTCTGCAAAGCACCAGAAGGCAAAACAAGAAGCAACGAAGGGAAACTACTAATCCAGGAAAGATCCAACCTAGGAATTAAAGAGGCGTTTTTTTTTCCCGCAAATAAAGTTTCTTTGCCTGCAAGTGATAAAATTCAGAAATTGAGTTGCAGGATCCATTATCTGGACTTGTATGGGAGGAGAAGGGAGCAGGAATAGCTGCCATCCTTAAAAAAATAAAATGTGGCACGTTTTGCAGGAATTAAGTAAACAAAAAAAAAAAACCTGTCTTTTTTTGGCTAATTTCTGTTAGCAATTGTAAAAATGCTTCCTTGAACAAACCCATCAAATTATAGAAGAATCCTCCAGATGGAAATATTATAATGCAAATTCTGCATTATAGGTTAGAGGTTGTAGACCATTTCAGACAAGTGACTGTCCAGTCTCTTCTTGAAGACCTCCAGTGATGGAAGCCCCCACAACTCCTGGTGGCCAGCAGTTCCACTGTCTTAACTGTTCTCACTGTTAGCAAGTTTCTCCTGAATTCCAGGTTGCTTCTCTCCTTGATGAGTTTCCATCCTTCGCTTCTTCTCCTGCCTTCTGGGGCTTTCTGGGAGAATAAGTGGACCCCCCCCTCCTCTTCTTTGGGGCAGCCCCTCAAATACTGGAAGGCTGCTATCCTGTCCCCCAGACTAGCCAAACCCCAATTCTTGCCAACTGGTCTTCAGATGTTTTAGCCTCCAGGCCTTCAATCACCCTAGTTGCTCTTCTCTGCCCTTTTCCCCAAAGCCTCATCCTCCTTTTTGTAACGTGGGACCAAAACTGGATGTGGCCTTCCAGGTGTGGCCTTACTAAAGGTTTCGTTGTGATCTCTTTGTGTCTGATATTCGATCTCTCGGGTGAATGGGATACTTAGGGAAGCACGCGTGACTGCCAACGTAGGTTCCAATGAGAGCTTTTCCCTTCACTTCCTTTTCCCTGTGACTTAGCTACTCCTCACTTGCCTCCTTCCAAAGCAGCCTCCTGCGTTGCTTATCGGACTGTGTAGAAACGCCGCGATGCACCTTGCATAATAAGAGAGTTACACCTTAGCCAGGGAAACCTAACGCTCGGACCTCAGAAGTTTCTGTTTGTTGTGCTCCCCTGGACGCCATCCTACACAGATTGGCATCACACTCAAGCGCATTGGCTCCTCCTACGCGAAGGGTGAAGAGTTGCAACAACACTTAACAACACGCGAGAGTATTGCAACACAACGGATTTATAAACAGAAGTCGACCTCTTCTTTTAGAGTATTTGGCTGAGTACTGAGCCATTTTCTTTTCTTCAATTGAGCCAGAATAGAGCTTGGAAGGGGCCTTGGAGGTCTTCTAGTCCAGCCCCTTGCCCAAGCCGGAGACCCTAGACTGTTTTAGACAGGTGGCTGTCCAAAAATAAAAAACCTCCAGTGATGAAGCTCCCACGACTTCTGGTGGCCACTGGTTAATTGTTTTCATTGTCAGGGAGTTTCTCCTTCTTTCCAAGTTGTTTCTCTCCTTGCTTAGTTTCCATCCATTGTTTCTGGTCCTGCCTTCTGGTGCGCTGGAGAATAAGTTCACCCCCTCTTCCGGAAGGCCCATTTTTCGGCCTCCCGAGGCTGCAGGGAGGCCGAAAAAGGCCTCAAGCAGGCTGAAAATCAGTGGGAGGCGCATGCATGCGCAGTGCAGGTAAGTTTGGTCATAGGTTCGCCATTATGGACTTAGGCACTTCTTCCATATATAACCTTTGACAGCTGTAGTTCCCCAGCACTATGAATGGTCTTCATCGGGTATGATTAAGTAACTGCCCAGCCACACACCCCGGTCACGTTACCCCCCACCAGCCATGTGCGGCCCGGGCTCTCTGTCCTTCGCTGTGGCTGCTGGGCGCACCCGGTGTGAGAGGTGCCTCCCCGGCCTGCGAGCTGCTCTCTCGCTCCCTTCCATGAGGACGGGGGGGATTCAGGGAGCGCCCAGAGGGTTTGGCCCCCAGTCCGGTAAGCGAGGCGTCCTTCGTCCTGTCCGTTTGCAAAGCGGGGCTGCTTCGGGGTGGTGCCCGGGGAGAGAAGGGCAGCCTGCCCGCTTCTGCAGCCGCCTCTCACAACACCCTTAACCCAGGTTAACTAACTAGAATAGAATAGGATAGGATAAAATAGAATAGGAATAGAATAGAAGAAATGAATCGAATAGAATAGAATAGGATAAATGAAGAATAGAATAGGATGGAATGGAATGGAATAGAATAGAATAGAATAGAATAGAATAGAATAGAATAGAATAGAACATGAATAGAATAGAATAGAATAGAATAAATGAAGAATAGAATAGAATTAGAATAGAATAGACTAAGGAATAGAATAGAATAGAATAGAATAGAATAGAATAGAATAGAATAGAATAGAATAGTAGCCAAACCTGAGACACAATTCATGGTCACCCTTGACCCGGGTTTCCCCCCCCCCCCCCCCAGTGTGTCATGAATTATATTTTCCAGTTTGAATTTTGCATGGCAGAAACTTCAGTCACCTGGATACTATCTTTGAAAAATTAATCAGGTTACACATGTGGCGAAATCCGACGAG